TTTGTATTCAAACCAACCTACAGAGAATTATCCCCTAAATTTGCAGCTCTTCTCAGATTTACAGCTTTATAGTGACTTTCAGCTCATTGTTTTGGTTTTAAGACTAGTGTTGTTTTCAGCCACAGCAAGCTCTAAAAAACCCAATCTACAGTATCTGGTCAGCTCAAACCAGCTAGTGAACATATTGGAGCATTTAGCAACTAAACAGCCAGATATTTCCCTCAGGAGTTGGTAGAGACCAAAAACAGAGCTAAAAGAGTGACAATTGGACTTACATTCATCAGGTGACCAGAAACATGACTCCGAATGAATGATAATGTTGCTCTGAAACTGCTGGATGGTAAGCAACTCTATGGTAACTGGTTTCCCAAATCAAGATTTGGCTACGATATGTCAATGTTGTGTTCACAACTTGCTTCCGTTGCCCCCAAGTGGCAGTTTTTGCAGGTTTAGGTAAAAGTAACAAAACCACCCTTTACAAATACTCCATTTTAAGCATATTGGTTGCACTGAAAATTTAACTTAAAGTCCCCCTCCACTTAAAAATGTGTTTTTTAAAGTTTTTAAAATTAAAGTTCTTGTTACTTCACTTATTTGAGCTTCACTGTGTAGAATGATGTACTTCCAGCAATTTACACTAGAAGTCTGTTTTCACATTCATCTGCTGAAGGGGGAATGTTTCTCTGTGCTCACCTTAAATCTGAGTTTAAATCAACATTATGTAAGATGTCTTTTTTTGTGTGCAATTTGGAGTGTAAATCACTGCTGTCTAAATAGGGACAGCTGTACACGTGCATTTGTTATGATTACATTATGATGAAAAACTAGCAAGCTGCCAACTTTGCTAACACATATAAAGTGTGACAACACAAGACATAGCAATATTACTTACTATAGGGTGACCATAGCCTACATCCTCTTCTTCCCGGACATGTAGTCTTTTTGGGACCTAAAAAATGCGTCCGGCCGGGATTTCTAATTCGCCCCAAACGTCCCGGATTCGGCTTGTGTCACATGCCACCATGGGTCTAAACTACATCTCAATGTAGACAATCTTTCTTGCACAAGCATTTAATGAATGAGAAGAACGTACCATAATGAAACTGCTGTTACTGGAATTAATATTATACTAGTGGTAAGCTATAATAAATTAATAATACATTTTATTTATAATGCACTTTACATTTCAACGAAATCTCAAAGTGCTATAGTAGTAGCAGGGGGTTAAAAACAGTTCCCAAAATATAACAAAATCAACAAATAGCAATAAAACACCACAAAAATAAAATCATAAGTGTTGAAAGGCCTTTTGAAATAGGAATGTCTTTAGGCCCTTCATAAAAACCTCCACAGTTTGTGGGGCCCTTAGGGTCTCTGGGAGGGCATTCCTGAGCCGTGGGGCGACTGCCTGGAAGGCTCTGTCTCCCATAGTGGAGAGTTTAGTCCTTGGTTGGTGCAAGCAGCAGGTAGAGGTGGAGGAGCGGAGGTTTCGTGAGGCGGTGTGTGGGGTGAGCAGTTCACTGACGTAGGCAGGGGCAGTTCCATGTATGCACTGAAGGTCGAGGAGACAGATTTTGTACTGAATTCTGTGTTGAATGGGCAGTGGAGGGATTTCAGGACCGGAGTGATATGATGAGACCTTACAAAGGTGGCGGATGTGGGTGTCAAATGTGAGATTTGAGTCAAGTCTGACTCCGAGGTTTGTAACAGAGGTAGACAGGGCAATGTGATGACCAAAGATGGGTATACTGCTGAGGGAAGAGGACTGGGTTTGGTGTGGGGTACCGATCAGGATGGCTTCGGTTTTATATATAGGATAGGCTACTATTATCTGATAATGAATACACTTATTTAGCTATTATCCCTAATCAAACCTTAACAAGACAGAAAACATTTATTTGTAAATCAATTGAATTGTTGAATCTCAAATAATAAGCAGCTGAAATGTTACATATAGGCCTACTATAAACATCTGTAGGCAGACATTAGCCAAATAAAGTGTAACCTATAAATATATTACTATTATACTAACATTAAACTTTTTATTGTCATTTTATTTAATATTATGATATTGTACTACAACACTAATTTATACTTAGCCTACACATTGCCACAGTGCCACCAATTACTTATCCATCATCCCAGCCCCAATCTTCCACCCGCTGCGGTTGTCTGTCTGTCTCCTGCCCCCACTGTCCTCTTTTTTGAAAACCAAAATATGGTCACCCTAACTTACTAGTCCATCTGTGTACACTGAAAGAAAGCCAGGCCTGCGTCTGTCTTGCGGCCTTTTATTACACAAAGCTCTCACCAACATTCGGGAGCCTCTTGCATGTTCACTTTCTTTTTCTCTCTTTAGCTTACTCCTTCAACGTCCTCTTCTGTCTCCTTGCCTCTGCCATTAGTTAACATTATGTCCATAGAAGCTGTGGAGCCTGGTTGTGTTGCCTGCTCGCTCTGTGTCCACCAGCAGCAGCATAATGTTCCTTGAAACTTGGGTGGCAAGCTAGTCAACAAAGTTAGACAGCAACAGACACAAGCGCACTTACAGTAACGTTACCAATGTCCGAGTGTGTTGTCTAGTTTGCTAACATCAACTTGATACCCAACAACTTGATTGCCCAACAGCAAGGCCAGGTCAGCCTCTTTTTTGCATCCTTTCAGCTTTTTTAGCTCACGCAACAAGTAAAAGTCAGGCCAATAGGTCTATTGCTCATCACTCTCTCATATTCTCTTCCTCGCTTCCATCCTTCTTCGGTTTCCTCACAGCCTCTGCCATGATATCCACACTAAGAATACTGAGCTAGCTTCTTCCAAAGAACTTCCATTGTAAATTCTATACTTTTGCTTCTTCTTATACCATGAGCTTCTGAAGAGTTTTGTTCATGTGATAATGCCAGAGGATCTTTAAGTAAAATTACAGCAACAAAATATACTTATGGAAGTATTCAGTATGAAGAATGGCCATTGTCAGTATTATATTATTAAATTATTAGTTCATTATTGTTATGAAAATTCTTGGGAGCAGGTCAAATCTTATTTTTAGAAGATCTCAAGCAACTCATAATGTCTTACAAATCATTGTTTATTAAAGCCTGGCAGGGAAGACTGGCAATAGCATATATGAGTGTGGACACAATGTAGTGCCAAAACTAAATCTTACAAATCCCTCTTGGTCCACAATATCCCTTTCTCTTTATCCCTTTGCTATGCCCTAAAAGGTCATTCTTTCGTGGCCTAAAGCTGAACAGTCAATCTGCCGGATGTTACACTCATGTCATGTTGAAATTTAGTGGTCTCATGAATTGCATTGTAAGCAGAGACAATGAGTGTGTAAACATACGAGACTCTTAGAAAACAACGTTAAGTTTTGTATGTAGAATCTTAAACTGAAAAGTTACTATAGTATAGAAAAATGTTGTGGAGTAAAAAGTACAACATTTCCCTCTGTAATGTAGTGTAAGTGCAATATAGCATAAAATGGAAATACTAATGTACAGTACTAGAGTAAATGCATGTAGTTACTTTCCACCACTGGGCTGTAACACTCACACTGTTTGCCTTTAGTGAGCAAATACTACTCTTTGTAGTTACTAAAGCACAAGGTCTCTAAGCTAATCTTTAGCATGCTGTGATCCTACAAAGACTTTGACCTTCCCTGTCAGATCTGAGGTTCATAATATTTGCAAATATATGGGTAGCACCAGATGGTAGGTATTTGCCAAATAGGATAATGAGAAAAGCAACTGAAAGTTAATTCAGTATGCTCTTCTGTGGCCACTGCCCTACCTGATCTTTTTTTCGGTGGTGGTCCCATCTGGCATCTCATACATGTTTTTGCATGAACAATTAAAAAATATGTCATGGTCTGCTTTGTTCTCTTCAGGCCCACTAGGCAGGTTTTGCTTGACCTCAGACAGGTGATCACTGGTAGGGAGAAAAGTGGGAATACTTCCAGAGTGTGGCTCAAGCAGGAGGAGCCCCTTCAGAGACAAGAGATGATACTTCATCAGATGCATCAGGCCAGAGGGAAGCAGTGTCACATCCTTGACAAGGGGCCTGAGATTCCTAGCAGTGCTTCTGGACTGGAGGATTAGCTATCAGCAGTGCCTTCCCCTGCTATTATCATACCTACTGCAGTCTAGTTACAGTCACAGTGATACAGTGATGAGAGATTCAAAGAGGAAGGATGAGAGGCTGCCAAAGCAAACTCATGCCATCTACTACACATCCACTATTCCTTATCACAGTTTAGGGTAATATATCTGAAAAATATAGGGACATTCATATTTTGGCAATATCACATTTTAACAGTTGACGTTTTCTCCTTGTGGGAGCTTCCACCTTCAATCCTTATCAACAATTCTAGGAAGCCCATTTCCATTTAACAAACATGCAGCTAGTGGTCGTGCACCACTTGTCGCACTGTCTCAGTAGGACTATTAACAGCTATATATACAACCAGGATAGTGTGTCATGTGGAATCAGTTTCTGCCCACTGAGAGTTAAAAGCATGTGTGAGAGTATGTGAGTGTGCATGCAGGTGACTGTCTGGATGCCACTCTCTCCCCAGCACACCGGGTGTTAGAGCAGATATTGGGACATCTCTGATCTGTTTGGTCAGTTGTCTGAGTGTGCGGGGCAGACAGCGCTGGAGGTGGGGTGGAGCATTTGTGACCGTCGGGTTCCCCTGGAGACAGAAGGGAAAGTGACACACTGAGGTCAGGGGTGGAGACGGAGAGGAGAGGGCACAGAGGTATGAGGACAGGCTGGGGGGTACATAGTTGAAATTCAAGGATAAGGTTTCCCAACCTCTACAGTGAAATGCATTACGATGAGCTCTGGCCTAATTATAGAGTAGTGGGTTTGGGGGTGGAGTGGGATGTTTGGCAGAGAGGTTAGGAATCACACTGTGAAGGGGTGAAAATGGGTGAATGTCAAGTTTGAGAGCACAGGGTGTCATGTCAATGAACAAAAGAGAGCCAATTATTTTACGTCAATTCCCTTTAATGATAAGTAAAACTGGCGCCACATACTGTACATATATGAGTAGAAATGAGCACAGCATGTGTTTTAGAATAGCATTTCTTGCTAGAGAGATATGGTGAGTTTCCTATCACAAACAGAAAGTGTATTTACGACATACATACTGCTACGGTGACCATTCATAAAATAAAAACACATTCATTCAGTTTATGTACAAAGTTGAGCTTATAAAGTGAGTCCATACAATCCTCTGATATACAAAATTGCTTCTCACAGTTGAATTCATTCAACATACATTCATCTGGTATACTTGATGCAGCATTCACCCAATAGTTGTAAAACACACATAAGTAATAAATAATGACAACTAAGGCCTCTTGTTTATTAAGTATTAAGTGTGAAAAAGCTTCATAGGCGAGAATATTAAGGACCCTCGTCGACTCTATTCATAAGGCAACATGTAGCAGATATGACAAGTAACTTCTTTGAAGGTAATCGGGACCTCCTCATCTGATGGTGGTTCATTCTGATGCGGATAGGAATTTTAAACTATGGAGGCCCATTTCTGCCTGAAAGAAATAGATGAAAAGTCAAACGTGATGAAAAAAGAGAACATACCTAAGGTAAGTCATAATTATGAGACGGTAAGTCAAACTTTCTGACTTGGTAACCATCATTTGAAATTAGTAAGTAAAGTTTTTGACTGACAATCTCATAATTTTGTAGCTTGTTAAGTTTAACTTTGAGACTGTCCTCCCAAGAGGAACGACAGCATCAGTCGTTTCAACAAGTGCCCCAAAACAATGCTTACATTCAAGTGATAAAGCCCTCTAGCAGCTGTAGTAATGAGGAAGTCAGATGGTGACTTTGTAAAGTGACGACGTCCATGTAGGGAGGAGGTCAGGGTGGCTGGATATGTCAACAAAAAATCAGCTGTTCTTTTCCCGTTTCCAACCAACAGTCAATGTTGTTGTTTTTTAAGCATGAGCACGATTGTTCCCTAACATTACACACATGCTTGTCATTATGCAAAAAAAACAACAACATGACGATGAAGGTCCCATAACCCTAAAAAGCAGTAATTGTGATCCAAACCATGATCTTTCCCCTCACTCCACTCAAGTAGTTGTTGTGCATAAAGCTAACCCAACCTTAACCATTGCATCATAAAACAGATTCTTTAACAGTGAATTTGAGAGAAATTATGATGTCTTGCCGATACGGGTGTCAGATCAGAAAATTGTTCTAGAGGGCACGGACAAAGAACAACATTTTATATATTATAGTTTTATTTGGGGGACTTGCTAACTTTTCATGTATTTTTAAATGTTCTTGGCAGAAATGAGCTTCCGTATTAAACAGACTAAAAATTTTAAAATAGAAACATGTCTGAGCATTTTAATTTTTTTATTAACTCTCCTTATATTAGCGGAAAGACAGCTATAAGCAGGCTAACAAGCCTATTTGTGACACACAGAGCTAAAAAATTAAACAGTCAGCAGTAGCCCTCTTGCTTCTTCCATCTGTTTTCTACTCAAAACTCTAAAATATTGCAAAAGCAAATTCTGGAGGCCACACTAATGTGTTGCTGACTTCTCTTCATACATTTGATTAAGACCTAGTATGACTTATTGAACAAATTAAATGCCAAGAGCAAGCAAAGTCACAAGAAAAGGACTTTTCCACTTGCGCAAGACCAAGAACACTGTATGAATATTTCAAGAATTAAAGTGCTAGGTGGCGCTATTCTTGTGTGGCAAGCATTTCTGCCAGGGGCTGAAAGGAAGGGAGAGGATGATGAAGAGGAAACCTCCAACAATAAGAATAGCTCCTGCTGAGCCAACGCAGGCCACAGACCAGGACAGCTCATGGTGTAAAGGTATGGAGTGATCACTGGACAGCAAGGCCAGCATGGACTGGTGAAATATCAGGACAGAGAGAAGGACCAGTACACCTGCACAGAGGGAGAAAATAATTGGTGCGATGAAAGACATTGAGAAAAAATATGTGGGAAAAAATAGGAGAATGAGGTCTCACCTGATAGGATGAAACAGAAGGAGGCCGGCTTGAGAAAGAAGGGCACTCCTTTGCTGAGGGACATGGCGATGCAGATGGAGCCCATTACCATCATGGTCAGACTCAAAAGGGCCAAGACAGCTGCTGCTAGATTCAGATCTGTAGGGCAGCAGATATAAATTTTAAAAAGAAAAGGGAATAAAGTATAAAAGTGTATATGAGAATATGTGAAAATAAGTGTAGTTAAAGATGAAATTCATAACTGTGTAGCAAGAAATCTTGCTGCACAGTTATAAGACGGTGTGAAATGCTATTTGGAAACTATTGAGTAGAATCAGACAATTCACCACCTCACAAAGTTTGATTCTACTGGGCTTATACTTGATTGTACTTGAGTATTGAAATGTGGGAATGCAAACATGGTGTGAATTGTACCACTTCCCATACTGGCTCTGTTTAAAACAGATTTTACTGGCATTGGAAACCTGAACAGGTGCAACCTAAAAAATCTGATCAACATTCAGCCGTTGCCAGCATTGTTTTTTTGACGCTCCACCACCACACATATTATTTTATTTTATTAACACAACAGACACAAGCTTTAGGAATGCGGTTCATTGTTTGGAGGCAGAAGAAGCCAAAAAGTAAGTGAGATAAATAACAATGAAAGCAATATAAAACAAGACTATGAGCAGTTTGCCCAGCTACACTTTACAGATTTAAGATTGAGTAACGCATTTTCCCGATCATTCATGGCATCAGTGCAAGTGTGTAGTATTTTAAAATGAGAGACTTAAAACTTGGTTGATGTGAATGGACAGCGCACAACTTGTGGTTTTTAAGAGTTTTGTTATTTGATGCAGTTGGCAGTATTTTAAAGAGCCCTTCTTGTTGGTGCCTGGTGGAATTTTTCAGGCATCTATGAGCTGGCTGCCAAACAGCAACCACTTTTAGTACAACAAGACTGAAGAGCCTAAACTCATGTTAGCAGCTCTGTGACAAAGCTAACATGCTGATGTTTAGCAGGTAGCCTATAGAGTTTACCACTTACACCATTTTAGTTTAGCATATTAGCATTAGCAATATTAAGGCATCACCAAAGTGATTACTTTTAATCCTGAACGTGAATGTCTGACCCAAATTTTAAGACAGTCCATCCAACAGTTAGGAGATATTTAACACAAAACCACAAATGTCAACCTCATGGTGGCGCTAGATGAAATGTCAGAGGGTCATCTTGAAATTATTCTCCTACATCATGTAAAAAGCATTAAAAAAATGAAAAATGAAAAGAAAAGGACAATCCATCCAATAGTTGCTTAAATGTTGAGGTTTGGACCAAACTGGTTGACCAACCAGACATTGCTAGCATGGAAGCTGCTTAACATATGTCTTTTGGGTTTAATATGCAAACAAGACCTTCTGATTGCATTTTGTTCTTACAGCTCTTATATGTTAAGTGTCTGAGCTTCGTTGAATACATCAAAGAGTCTCTCTTCAAAACATTTGACCAAAAGATAAAGTTGACTTCATGCTCACTGTGATGTATCAAGTGTTAAGCCACCTGCGCTGAAGCCAGTGGCTACCTGGACAGTAAGGTGAACACATTAATCAGTCTAATAGCTTATGATTTGCTTTGGAAAATGGGTGGCAGCAGAAGTTAATGGGCTGAAACATGCAAAAACCACCAGCGTGGTCCTCTGAGCATCCCCAGTGAACATCTTTATTGATAGTAGCTGCAATGAAACTGTTAGTGTGCATCTGTATGTGTAACAGAAATTGCAGGGGGGCGTATAATGTCTCACTCTTGTTAGTTGTCTTCTTGAATATGACTGCATTCTCCCCAGAGGTGAAGAATTTGAAGTAGGTGCAGTTGGATTCTGTGGGTAAAGGAAAAAGATCAGATCAGACTCATGTACACACACACACACACACACACACTCCTATGGATGGCCGCTGGTCTACTGTTATGTGCCCCCTACGCATCCGTGCACACTGTCCTTCCAGGCATTATTCCTATTTATATCCAAGTGTTGAGTATTAGCTGGAATACCCAGAGACACACACCACTCCACACACACACTGCCCAGCACCACACATACGGTGCCACCATAGAGGGTGAGAGACAGCAAAGCACTGAGGGTGCATGGCAGAGGGGAGAAAGGGAGGTAGACGGGGAGAGGGGGCAGATAGATAACAGAAAGGGAGAGGCGTGGCTGCATTAGAAGAAGAAGGAATGAGCGGAAGAGGATATGTGGGGTGAGTGAATGATGAACGGGGGATGTAGGAAATATGGATAGAGGCTCAGAGGATGAGATGGCTGGGAGGAGGAGGAGTGAGTTGGGGGCAGATGGAGGGGCGGTGAGTGAAGGGGAAGAGAGAGGGGAGCCACAGATGGAGAAGGAGGTGAGGGGAGCAGGAGATGTCAAGAGGGGGAGGAAACACAGAGGGGTTGGTTAATACTGCATTAGATATACACTCTCCCTCAGTCCCTGTCTGTCCCTCATCCTCATTTCCCCCTCTCTATATTTAGACAAAAACTGTGAAGTAGTCAGATTCCACTTGGCTTCACAAGCGCATAGTGATGACTTTCACCCACTGAATATTATTTGGTCCAAGATGACCACATGCTTGCGCACATACACACACAATCACACATTTCTTTCACACACAAATATGTTTGTGCCTGAGCACATTTTTTTATTGAAGCAGACATACCATTTATCAGCCCACTGATTTTTTTTAACACATTATGCTATCACAGTCAACTGGTTTTTGCTCTCGCTACCCCTGCTGAGGCTATAATTATTGAGCTGTCACGTTCCCTTCTCCAGCAGGCAGCGAAGATGGATAGCTGGTCTTGAGATGACAGACAGCAGGCCGCACTTTGCTCCGGACGGGAGCCAGAGGCATGTAAACAGGGATGTGAAACAGAGACGCAGAGATGGCAAAAACAGTTGTTTTTCCTCCAAACATGACAAGCCCACGGCCATGTGCGACAGGCGGCGTGGGCCAATAGTGTTAGCACGTGTGAGAAAGATTGTCAGAAGCATACTGGCTGCTCTCACACACCAACAGGCCATCTCAGAGGCAGCCAGGCATGCAGGACATTTAGACAAGTTTGATGAATTTGTACTTGATGACAGGAAAGAAAAAAAAATGTCATGACATATTATTCACGGTGATGTACGTGAAAAGTATTTATGCATATACAGTATCTCACAAGAGTACACCCCTCATATATTTGATTATATCTTTTCATGTGACAACACTGAAGAAATTACACTTTGCTACAATGTAAAGGGGTGTACTCACTTTTGTTGCCAGAGGTTTAGACATCAATGGCTGTGCGATGTGTTATTTTGAGGGGACAGCAAATTTACACTGTTACACAAGCTGTACACTCACTACTTAACATGGTAGCAAAGTGTCATTTCTTCAGTGTTGTCACATGAAAAGATATAATCAAATATTTAAACAAATGTGAGGGGTGTACTCATTTTGTGAGATATTGTACAAGATCCATGTGTATCTCTGCTGGAAGAAGCAATTTTACAGTTTATCCAGAGGTCTGCTGTGTCTTGGCGGATTCCCTGAGACAGGCCGTGATTCCAGATGCAGCTCCTCCTAAAGCCTGCCTTGCCTATCTGTAGCTCACTTGCTCCAATACCTGCCTCCATCTGTAGACTTGCTTTTCAGACAGAAATAGGTCATTGGGCAGATAATCAACACACTCTGGAGAACCTAACCATGATCAAGTTGAATAAAGTGCTTTTAGTAAGGAGCTGTCACAACTCTAAACATGGATGTTCGACAACACAGTAAACCTGTGTTCTGTCACTTGTCTGTACTATGCATACAACGATGATTAGGTATCCAGTCAAGGGAAAACCTTGAAAGGAATGCTTCACTACACTGACAATGTTGTGAATCACAAATATTATATTCTATGATGCTGCATGCACCTGCATGCTATTTTGTGTTGTTACAATATAATAAGTATTAGGACTTATTAAACAGCTTTACTGTCTTGCTCATGCTCTGTTTCCAAGCATTTCTTTAATGATTCCATTTGCACATTATCTGTATGATGACCTAGATACATATGTATGAAGGCATACACAACTATCCTCTCTCTATCCCTATGCAAGTTTACAGTGGATATACATATATACATACACTTGGGGAAATTACTAAATACATATCAAAGTTCAGAAATATGTTCCTTAGAAATCTGAAGATTGTGAGTAAGATGAAAATAATTTGTATTGAAATTAAGTCATCCTCAGTCTCTCATGGGTTCAGATATAAGACCTACTGATGTTGGCATATTCCCAGAGGGCATACATCATATTAATATGCCTACTCCCTCTGTTTTTACATCAGTGGTGATGGAAAAAGAGAAATGGAGGCGATTAAGTGAACACTTTTTTTCCTCAGTGATGTCAAACAACTTGCATCCTCTCTGAAACATCTTTTGACCCTTCTCTATGAATTCACCTTCATACTGAGGTACATACTGTAGCTGTACTGAAAGCAGCCTCGAGGTAGACTTGCATGGTCGGGCAATTCAGTTTGCAGAGAAGCAGACACAAGCAGACAGTCACAGAAACAAAACAGACACATGCCCTCCAGAAACCTCACCTGCTTACCTCCCAGACAGCACAGAGAACAGACAGACAGATGAACACAAACTCTCACAGAGACACAGACACACGCCAGCCAGAGGTCTCACCTCCAGGTAGTTCGACGGGGCCACAGCTTGTCCTCTCTGGGTCTATGTCAGCCACCCATAGGGTACGGATGCAGCCCTTCCACAGGCCATAGTGGGCCATCTGGCAGGTCTGATTGCCGCTGAAATTCTTTGGTTGGGCCAGCTCCACCCAAAACTCTGTCCCCATGCCCAACACCGTCAGGGTCACGCCAATGATAGACACAAAGAATGCCAGCTTGATCTTCCCCTCCTGGCTGTCACTCATCTTGTGGGTCCTCCTTTGTCCCCTTCCACCTTTAATTCCACCCAAACCCCCACCTTGTCCAGCCCCTGCCACCCCGATGCGACCCTCCTCATCCTGCTGTACAAAATAGTTGGACCACATAATGATCTAAACTGGCCAGGCCCGAGGAACGCCAGGGGACAGAACAGGACACTTAGGTTAAATATTAGAGGAGAAAATAATAGAATAAAATATCAAAGGAAGGTTTAGTGAGAAGAAAATGGTGAGAGGTTAAGGGAGAAGAGGGTGCAAGTTTGGAAGTTTTATAAGCAGTATGTTATAAAAGGAGACACAACTATCAGCTATCCTGTGATGGATGAGTACATTGAGCAAAAGCAGCCAGAGTGAACAAAGGCTCAAGTAAAAATAAGCGGGCTGAACAATGAAATTAGACAAAAAAAGATAGAACTATAATGAAATAGGGGCGGATGAAGTAAGGAAATGAAAAAATGGGAGGAGACGGAGGTAAGGACCAGGACAGCCAGTGTCTGTTTTCCGTCCAGTTCTGTGAAATAAAGAGATGAAACAGAAAGATGAAAGAACAGCCAGCAGATGCTTCACAAGAGCAAAATCCTTTCATCACCAGCGTAATATTTGATTTCCAACAGCTTTATCAGCATCCCTTCCTAAAAGCCATGTGACATGCTCTCAGCCAACAACAGATAAGCCATGTGGTGTTTCCCTGAAAGGCAGATTTTGCTTCAGATGAAGAAACAATTGGGCTGGATGAGCTAGTGGAGTCGGTTGGTGCATGGTCAAGTTGAGAGATAACGCCACAGCGCCAGAGAGGACCGCCCATCTTCTGTTTTCCCAGAGGAGTTGACAACAGCTCTTTCCCGAGCAGGTATACTATCTCTGGCTTAGACACAGATCCCCTTTTGATCTGAGGGGATAATGGGTTGCCACAAATACCTCCTATCCTGCATTACGTGTACCAGCCAACACTTGGAATCTGCAGCCATAACTGTCTTTCTGAGTGTGCACGTGAGTGAGTGTGTGGCATACACTGTAGGTGAGTTCAGACTTGTAGAGTTGTTTATGTTATTCCAAACTATGAGCAAGGGGCCTTTGGAGCTGTTTAAACAACGTGAGAGACGGGGCACAATGGTGATGCCGCTCTACACAGGGTGCATGAGAGGTGATAATTCATGCCTGAACCCTCTGACTGAGAGGGGGCTGCAGTAATTAACCGTGTGGTGCAGTCCAACAGGTCACATAGTGTAGGCAAGAGGCCTGGCCATTTAGGAAGGCAGCACCAGCAGTTGGTGGATCACTTAATTCAGAGCTTTGAGCTGACAGCATCAGAGGTTTTATATAGGCAACGCACCACATGAACTCACTAAGTGCAAGTCCTTTGTAAACAGTAGTTTTCAGAGTATAGATGTGAGTAATACTGTCAAAATGGCCAATGCTGAGACAGTTACATATAAACAACCAGAACAAAACTATGGTCACGGTCAGCAGGGGTAAGGGAACACTGAACATTCAGAGCTGAAATGATCAGTTGCTTAATCTGACAGACAATGAATCTGCAACTATTTTGATACTTGATTCGTTTAAGTAACTTATCAATCAAAACTCCCACCGTCCTCTGGTTCCACCTTCTCCGAGGTGATAATGTTGTTTCTTTATTGGAAACGGAAAATCTTTGGATATTTGACCGTTGGTTTGACAAAACAAGACATTTGAAGACATCACATTTTGCATTAGTTAAACGACTGATCGGTTAATTTAGAAAATAATCTGCCGATTAATTGACAATTAAAATGATCATTATGATATTTGTAAGGATAATTTCTGGTATAGAATTTACTTTACAATGTAGCAAATGTGTGCAAAATCACATATAAAATAATCTAACTAATGTTCAAAGCAACAAACTGTGTTTCACTGTCACCACACTCTGGGTGAAACAAAAACTTAAATAACTAATAATGTCACTTGACCTTCAAAAACTTAAACTGAAAGGTCTAGCTACACAACAGGCCTTCTAGTGAGATTTTTGACAACTAATTATGTCATATTTTAATTACAACCTGCTTGGAGAAAATAATTTGGACAACAGAAATTTATAGAACGATAACGTGATAAGATTATATCATCATGATATTATTACGAAGTCGATAAATGTGATAATATCAACGTATCCCCTGATCACAACTCACAGCAAGCACTGTAAAGTGATATAGTCTTCTAAAATTAAAAGCTAATAAAAAGTAAATTAAGGGTGTCCCTAATGAACTGAAGGTTTGGAATAGCACCCGTGCATTAGAATACTCCCCCAACATTAACTGTAATACAGAATATCAAGACTGCAGCTGCTGACAGCCATGTTAGTAGTTATACAATTACAAACCTTGATCACATTACATCCATATTAACCACAGGATGCTCAGAGGGGTCACAGCACGGCAGGCTACTCAACCAGAGGGATAACACAGACAAATGCTCACTTTGTAATAAAAGATTATCATAAGCAGTGTTCGCACACAGGTTTCCGAGGTTGATAATACAACAAAAACTAATGGTGCACTGACCTAAGTTTTGTAGCAGCTGAGCAGATCACAAGTTTGTTCACATGGTGCATTGTATGTAGTGAAAATCAGGAACTCTCTCTCTACTATTTCACCACAGACAGCCACTGCCACCTGTGTCACACACGGGCATAAGAAAGCAACTACTAGCTAATGCACTTGAGTGAAAAGAAGAATAAGTCTGACCTGTTTGGTGCGTGTTGCTCAGTTCAGGAGTAAGAGACGCTTGAAACTTAATAGAGGGGGAGAGTTGTGATGGGAGACTTAGTGAAAGAGAGAGAGAGAGAGAGAGAGAGAGAGAGAGAGAGAGGAAAAGGGGTGGGAGGGAGGTATATAAGGGTTATGGAAAGTGAGTGTAACAAGGGAGGGGGCTGCAGTCTGGTTGGTTAACACAGTTTATGATTAAATGTGTGCGTGTGTTTGCACTGCCGTTTCCCCCTACAAGACTGCACCTGTAACTCGTGCTCAATCTCAACAGCACCCTGTTTTACTCCTCACATGTTTGATATCCTAAATCAATAAGCAAAGGTGCTGCACGACAGCCCTGATTAAAAACATGTTTGTGTCTGTGAGAGCCTTGCTGTTTGTGTGTGTGTGTGTGTGTGAGTGTCTATTTTGGACAGCCACCTGTTAATGACATTAAGTAAAGAGAGGGGCCAGGGTGAAGCAACAGAGTATACTATGACAAAAGTGAAAATCTGACCCAGAGACAGAGAGTGAAAGTGAAACGGAGAGACTAGTAGAGTAGCAGAGAGATGGATGGGAAAAGGATATGAAAGAGGGATGAAAAGGTAAATCAACACTAATGTCTGGGGTAGATGCAGATGTGGACTACACTAACTGACAAAAAGTGGTTTAGAGAAGAAAGTTTGCGGCCCCATAAGTATTCCTCACTGAACAAGGTACAGAGAGATTTCAGAGACAGCCTGGTCTTATGGAAAGCTTTTCTCGTGGCCCAGCCCTGCTTGGCTCCTCCGCAGTTTAGGTTACATACGTGGCACAGCGCGAGAGAGGCCAACCCCAACGGCTAGCCATGCTTAGGGAGGGCAGGGAGAGGGGGAAGGGGAGAGAAAGCTGGGGGCTGAGGGGAGGGGGGGGGGGGGTACAAACTGAGAGTGAGTAGGGGACAGAGAGACAGAGAGAGAACCGGAGAAAAAGGACGAAACAGGCTGTAGGCTGTGACAGGAAAATAAACACCTAGGATGTCCAAAACAGTCAAGCCCTGTTCCCTTTTTAGGAGACATTGTTGTGACGCCACAGCGCAGCTTGCAGATGGAAAGAAAGATGTTGGGCACGTGACAGCCGTGATAAATTGATTCATCTGGAGAGAACAGCTATGTGTGTTAATGCACATATGTGTGTCTGTTCTTTACAATGACTTTGCTTCTAATTATGCTGCCCATCTCTGCTCCTCCATCATATGAGATTGATAGAAAGTGCCCACAGACAGTGTGAGGCCATCAATAATCTACAGTATGCTGATGTGAATAATCTTGTCTCCACATCACTCATGTGTCCCTGTCAGCAGTGCTAATTTATGCTTGAACACACTGAGTGCACACATGTACGCGCATGTATGCAGCCATGCGCGCACTGGCCACACAGCTGCATCCATTTCTTACTTTGACGTTGCAAAGTAATGTTTGCTGAGGACATTTGCTCGATTAAAGCTTAAAACTGGAGTTATCTTACATTTTTTCTTATTGTCAACAAACTCCCCTGACAGGATCAAACCCAACAATAAATTGATTGATGAAGTGGCGCCTGTGGAGCCAAAGCCTGATTCAGCTTATTCCTTTGTGTCCAAGTTCTCCGATGTCCAAAAACTACATAATACAATACAAGAATACATCTGTGGGGAACACTTGACAACACGGGCACTGTAGTTTATTTACAATCCATCCATGTGCCGTAAATACAAGCTAGCACACCAAATCTGCAGCTGCTCTATATTTATATATTGCATGTTACCTCTGTTCTTCTTTGCAAGCGCAGTTTGTCTGTGCTTGACAGATTTCATGGCTTTTGAACGTGTTCCTGTAAAGATACTGATACATTTCAAGGTCACATCACATGACAATTCTGCACCAATTATTTCTGTTGAGCTCTGTTAGGTGTCGTGTGTTGCTCTGGAGATTGACTAATTAAATTGCTAGTAGGCCTTTTTCACAGGTGACATTTTGACTTGTCATAGTAGGAAAAGCACGTGTTACCAACAACACTAATGATGGTTCAGTTCTTCAGTTCAGTTGTCCCAGTAAGTGTGACAGTGAGCCAGCATTCACAATACCAGGACCCTGAAACTGGCGCAGCTGGAATGGAAATGGAATTCAGCCATCATTCATTTATCATAATATACACCCCAGTACTTTTCCTTCTGTGACATGTAAAAATGTCTTCTGTGAAAAAGGCCCATTCGCACTCAACCTGACATTTGTACCAGAGTTAAGTGCTTTTCTATGGGATGTTTACATTCTTTTAACTCCAATATGAAAAATGCAAACGTACAGAGTACTGCATCCATCCTGCTCCAGTGTTGCACTCTTCCACTGCTGCAGTGTTCTATCT